GATAGTTTTGACTGATCTTCAAATGGATAGCGACTAAGAGTTTGTTAATCCTATAAGAAGTGTACGAAAAGTTAAAGCGGTATTCAATTTCTCTATTTTTTTGTCTACTTCTCAGTCACGAAAAGAAGTGAATGACTATTGGGTTTCAAACTAAATAAATGTCATTTGAAATGCACTTAACATTAGGGAGTGTTTTAAATGACTGTCTATTTCTCGTCCCCTATTGTGGACGACCTCTAAGTGAACACAAGTCTCGCAGCGAATGCAGTCTCTTATCAGATGGAAGTGAATGCAAATACAATGTATTAATAGTAGTGTATCGTTGAGTACACCATACACTCAACCACACGAATACAGTATATTTCAGTCACAATGAGAGGCCTCATAGCCTGAGACAGGGTCGGGAGGGACAGACAGACTTCACTTAAAACAAACACATGGCAACCAAATGAATTCATTGCTTTGCTACAGACTTTTATAGACTTTTTGTAAACTATTGTAAGTATTGTATAGCCGATCAATAGGCCATACACTGGTGGGATTGTATTGACTGACATTGTATTTTGCATTATAAACTCAATTGTCGTTTAATTGGTGTGAATGTGGAGTGTGTAAAGAGTTAGTTTGTAAGTATTGTATAGCCGATCAATAGGCCATACACTGGTGGGATTGTATTGACTGACATTGTATTTTGCATTATAAACTCAATTGTCGTTTAATTGGTGTGAATGTGGAGTGTGTAAAGAGTTAGAAACGATTGCATAAGTTTGGACTCCTTTGAGATACTTATCCGATAATACGGTAATACGTTCGCAGAGTTGTACAGCGATTGGAGTGTGTGTCCAATGGTGTGGAGGGACTGGTAGTCACATGTGTGAGACGTTGTCTATCATAGAGAGTCTATGCATTGGCGTGCAGTCTGTGTTCATCCAATGGACTGGTAGTGCAGTACAGCGTTGTGTGCATTGGAAAGGCATTCAATTAATGGCATTCAGTGTGTACTGTTCACTATTACATCATCCCTATCCCTATCCCTATCTACAGCTAACAGTGCTATGAGTGCTGAGAGTTTGTCCTTCAAAGTCATTGAGCTTTTCGTCTCATATTTTGTACAATTAATACATTAATACAAGTGTTTGCGTGAAGTGTCGATCAGAAGGCACTTCTCGGTCAACAATTACTCTCTACACCAGTCTATTCATGAATGCATGTGTTGTGAGCCACTAATAGTCACAAATTAATGCATTCATCTCACACTGCATTCACTCCAACCGCAAACACAACCATTCGATCACTCATTGGCTCTCAAGACATCACTTCCTCATTGAGTCCACACATTGTCTCATATATTGACCACAAGTGATGACATTAGAAGACAATGAGACCAACGACCACATGAGTGCCACCGCCGATGATGAGCCCGATAAGTGTGAGGCTTCGGGTGCGGCCACAGACCAGGAGTTCATATTCATTCACGACACGGGATTCAATGTATTGATCCAATGCCCGGCTATCGACGCCTTCGAGGTCCAGGTATGTCACCACATGTCACTCCATTCACGCAGACATTGCATGCATTGCATCTATGATTGAGTGCATGGTTTGTACGACTCTTAGGTGAGTGCCATGGAGTTGGTGCAGGAGATCCATCACCTGCTGATGGACAGGGAGGACACGTGTCATCGCACGTGTTTCTCACTGCAATTGGATGGCATGACTTTAGACAACTTCACGGAACTGAAGAACATCGCGGGTCTGAAGGAGGGGTCGGTCATACGGGTGGTGGAGGAGCCCTACACCGTACGGGAGGCGCGCATCCATTTGAGACACGTGAGGGATCTGTTGAAGTCGTTGGACCCGTCGGACGCATACAATGGCATTGACTTGAATTCGTTGTCATTCGTCAACATTATCTCTCAGTCAGACATTTCCGGTCAGTTCTCGTCACCACTTGAGAGCCTTATTTGAGTTAACGTTTGATTGAATGAACGATTGGTTTATTGCAGACAAGAAGAGGGTCTTAAGAGCGGATTCGGTGGACTGTACGCCACCCGAGTATATACTGCCCGGCAGTAGAGACAGACAATTGCTTCCATTGCAGCCACAATCCAAAGAGCAAAAAGTAATGCATTGATTGACTGTTAGATGAATTGTAGTGATTGTCATGTGTTTTGAATTGAAGGGACCGATAGCTCTGAAAGTGTTGACCTCCAGTGGTTGGAACCCTCCGCCGGGCACTCGTAAACTTCACGGAGATTTGATGTACTTATATGTCATAACCCTTGAAGACAAACGATATCACGTAACCTCTTCTACGAGAGGTTTTTACGTGAATGAGTCGACTGAAGAGGAATTTAATCCAAAGCCCGCCAATCCTAAAGTCGTGTATCACTCGCTCATTGATCTACTCAACCAAATCAGTCCCACATTTAAACGCAACTTCGCATCGATTCAACGCAAACGCCATCAAAGACATCCATTTGAAAGGGTGGCCACACCTTATCAGATGTACTCGTGGACGGCACCACATCTCGAGCACACCATTGACTCCATTCGAGCCGAAGATGCCTTCTCGTCGAAGTTGGGATACGAAGAGCACATTCCCGGACAGACACGTGACTGGAATGAAGAGCTGCAGACGACACGGGAGTTGAAGCGCAAGACCCTTCCCGAGCGCCTCCTGCGAGAGCGCGCTATCTTCAAAGTGCACAGCGATTTCGTGGCGGCCGCCTCCAGGGGCGCCGTGGCTGTGATCGACGGCAATGTGATCGCCATAAACCCTGGAGAGGAGACCAAAATGCAAATGTTCATCTGGAACAACATATTCTTCAGTTTGGGATTCGATGTGCGCGACCACTACAAAGAGCTCGGCGGCGATGCGGCCGCCTTTGCCGCCCCCACCAACGACCTCCAAGGGGTCAAAGCCTACAGTGCCATCGATATCGAAGGACTCTACACACTGGGAACCGCTGTCATCGATTACAAAGGATATCGAGTGACCGCTCAAAGCATTATACCGGGTATTCTGGAGCGAGAACAGGAACAGTCTGTGGTGTACGGGTCCGTCGACTTCGGCAAAACAGTTGTGAGTCATTCAAAGTATTTAGAGCTTCTCAACAAAGCGGCACAAGTGTTGAAAATACTGCCCCACAAAGTGGTGACCGATGGGGGACAGGAGGTGGAGATTTGCTCATCAGTTGAATGCAAGGGAATCATCGGAAACGATGGCCGGCATTATATTCTGGATCTGTTGCGCACTTTCCCGCCCGACCCTAACTTCCTCATTGTGGACGACTTGGAGCTGAGTCCTGAAGTGCGAGCCTTGGGTTTCCCGCGTCACCACAAACACAAACTCTGTTGCCTTCGTCAGGAACTCGTGGATTCATTCTTCGAAAGCCGTTACTTAATGTTCATAAAGTTAGCGGCTTTTCATTTGCAACAAAAAGGCTTAAGAAATCTGAAGGAACAGGAGATGAAGTATAAAGCCATTGAATCTAACGATAATAACGACATCGAAATGATTGACAGCGAATCAAAGGATAATATTAACGAAGAGTATAAGGAAAATCAAAACCCATTGCACGACACGAATGACAATAAGAGTGAAGAGGAGACCGAGAATTACAAGAAAATAGTGGAATCGTTCACATCGGGAGAGAAGTCTGATATCGACAGCACTAAAGAGATTGTCAGAAAAGCTGCTCAATCTGTCGGTTCCCTCAAAGACAATGAGTTCGATATCCGATTCAATCCCGACGTCTTCTCCCCGGGTGTTAAGCATTTGGATTCGACGGAAGAGTCGCTCAAAAAGCAGACGCAACTCGTGAAAGACGCGGCAGAGTTCCTGTTGTCCGCTCAGATTCCCGCCTTCATTAGGGATTCGTTAGAACACACGACCACTCCTTTCGATGGACTCACACTCACTGAAGCCCTTCACAGCCGAGGAATAAATATGAGATATTTGGGGAAAATCGCCGAACTATTGGTCGCTCACAAACCACTCGAATACCTCCATGTATTAAACGATGTCTTAATTGGTGTCACAAAATGTTGATTAAAATTATTTTATTTGCAGAGTATTGTCGTGAGTGAACTGATCTGTCGGTCAGTCAAACATATCTTCACAAACTATATCCAAGGCATCGAAATGATGAGTCTCTCGTCAGCCATCAGTCATTTTCTCAATTGTTTCCTGTCTTCGTGTCAAACGATTCCTCAGCCGTCGACCACTGATGAGCTCCAGTTCAGACAATCGAGACGTAAGAATAAACGCAAGACTCGTCAGAATCTGATCAGCTCTCAAGACAACAACGATTGGGTAAACCTGTCGCCGAAGTCCTTCTGGAGTAGTCTTCGCAATGAATTAGATTCTTATTATGGCTGGACTTTGACGCCCGACTCCATCGATAGTTGTGTCGAAACCTTTAATCTGCAGAAAATCTCAATATTGCGCTTATTTTGCATTCGAACCGGAATTCAGTTATTGCTTCGGGAATACCATTTCGACCACAAGACACGCATTACGTTCACCGATGAGGACGTGCTTAATATGTTTCCAGTGGTCAAACACATACATCCTCGGGCTTCGGACGCCTATAACTTTTACTCTACGGGTCAGCGCAAGATACAGGACGGCTATCTGAAGGAGGGCTACGAACTCATCAGCGAAGCGCTCAACCTATTGAACAACGTGTACGGAGCCATGCACTCAGAGATCGCTCAATGCCTCCGAATGTTGGCCAGACTTAACTACATTATGGGCGACCATTCAGAGGCCATTGCTTTCCAACAGAAGGCAGTCCTCATGAGCGAGAAAGTCAATGGCATCGATCATCCCTACACTATCACTGAATACGTGAGTCTTATCTCTCTCTCAAATTAACACATTTTGTTAAGTGTTTACTCCACTTATAGACTCATTTAGCGCTTTATTGTTTCGCGAGCTCTCAAGTGTCCACTTCATTGAAATTCTTATATCGCGCGCGTTATCTCCTGACTCTGATTTGTGGTGAAAATCATCCCGAGATGGCTATCCTTGATGTGAGTACAGTACTACTCTGTTATGTATCTATCGAAAGCAGTGCTAATCATTTGGTTTTGCTTTTATAGAGTAATATCGGTTTAATACTTCATGCGGTCGGCGAATACGATCTGTCGCTGCGTTTCCTCGAGAATGCACTCAAATTGAATTTACGATACTTTGGATCCAAAAGTCTGAAAGTGGCGGTCAGTTATCATTTGGTGGCGCGAACGCAGTCATGTATGGGTGACTTCCGGGGCGCTCTTCAGTATGAAAAGGAGACGTTCTCTATATATAGACAACAATTGGGTGAAGAACACGACAAAACGAAAGAGAGTTCCGAGTGTTTGCGTCATTTGACACAACAGGCTGTTGTCCTCCAGAAGAAGATGAATGAGATATACAAAGGAAACTCCACGGCTGTCATCCCTCCCATCCAAATACAGCCGCCGTCTGTGAGCTCAGTGCTCGATATGCTCAACATCATCAATGGCATACTCTTTGTCCAACTCAGGTATGTTTGTCTCCAACCATCCATTGCACTGTATGCCAGATATCCGGTCTAACTGTTGTTCATATGGTTGACAGTCCCCAAGAAGTGGAGAGTTTCAAAGGCGAGTTCGCGAACTCCAACTCCAAAGACATTTCGGACGTCTCGCCCAAAAAGAGCGCTCAAACCAATGGTTTTGCTTCGGAATCTGATTTTGTCAAAGAAAACAACGAAATTAATAAGCAGTCAGTCATTACTACTGAAGGATAGTATTGGCAACAAATGATCGATAATTCATACAAAAGACTAATACTTTTTTGCAAAACATATACAACGAAACATTTTAGTGAAACACATATTAATAGTAATTAAATAATTAATTCTTTTCTCTCACTTATAGGTTTGCAATTTTAATTTTAGGACATATTATAATTAAATTATAATTTAGTTTTTATTTTTGAATTTAGTATAACTATAATATAAATTTAATATGAATTGTTAACCACATATACATTATATAAATCACAAACAATTTATATTTTGTAGTCTACTGACGATTTTTCACTATTGAAACACTATTTTTTGAGCATAATTTGAATAATTTTGGGTTTTGTTGATTTGTGTGTCGGAGTGTAATAATTACACCGTTTACTGGTTTTATTTTGTTCGGGTATTGCTGTACTTATTGAGACAATAGTTTGCAGCGAGAATGCATTCAATTGCCGTAATATTAGAGTTAAGTTGTTGAATGGCTTATTGCTGTTTAGTTAATATTGGTTACTATTTTAGTGCAAAACAAATATATATCTCATTAGTTCTTATTGTAAAGAAGATAATCAGGAAATTATGAATTGATTTTCACTTAAAAATTATTATATAGATAAGATTAGCAATGGATGCATTAGGTGCCAGTCCTTTAATGTCTTGATTTGAGTTTCATTTTTCATTTATACTCAAACAATTCATTAGCTCATAGTTTGCACCAAATATTTTTGTTTTTGTTATATATTTAGTATTTTAATAGAATTATTAGTGATTACTTGACTATAGGTTTGCCAAAACGGTATATTGACTCAAAACTCTGCCATTAATTAAACAAATAATTGTTAAGATTTAGTTATTTTTTAAATATTAGCCATTATTACAATTATTACACAATTATATAAGTTTTCAATTTATTTGTGATTTTCATATCCCAATGCATTTATTTGTAGTGACAAATTACAATTATTTAGTTATTAAATTATTTTTCAATTTCATTTAATAAATTGAATTTTAATATTAAAAGTTGTTTAATTTATAAAATTGTAGAATAGATTCTGTATATGTTTATGAATTGCATTTTGGATTACCGTATATATATGAGACAGAATCAAGATTCAAGAATTGGATGATTTATCAAACCGTTTCACATTTATCACTTATTGCATATAATTTTTAAGGCATTGCAGATTGTTTAAGCTTTAGTATTTATTTTAAATTACAATTGGGATAACTTAAAAATAGAAATTGTATAATATTTGTATTACCGGTAATACGATAATAAGTGCCGCAATCGTGGAATGTCTGTACATTAGTAATAGTGAAGCCATTTGTCATACAAGAGATGGGGTTGTATTCCCAATGAAACACTGTAATCATCAGTCAATTCGCACTATTCAATGCATGAAGAGTGGAGTATACCATAGGTATGCATATAATACTTACCTCAGATTACATAGACATAGACAGTGTAGTGAGTGGTGTGTACTGTATTGCATAGACATAGACATACTGTAGTGTGTATGGTATAGACAGGACAGACAGGTGCGATTGGCCTCTCCTCCTCTCAATTGTTGTACTCATATTCACAGGAAATACTGGAACCCTCTCTCCCGCTCTCTCTCAAAGACTTGTGCTCTCTATTCATGAGTTGTTTGCCTCACAACACAGTTATCCGTCTCTCTCTCCGTCCCATCGCATAACATATGCCATCAAATTCTTGACCAACATTTCTACTGAACATATACTTACAAGTGGTGTGACTCTCATTACTGAACATCACTTTTTTGGTCGGTTCCTCTTCTTCCAAACGGATAGAAAAACAAATATATTTTAATAGTTATAAAGTTTGATTGAAATAAAGCTTTTCTGTGGTTTTGTATAATAATTTGCAAGTTTAATTGACTATTAATTGTGTGAATAGAGTACAAGAAAACTTCATAACTCAGGTAAATAATCCAAATAAAATAAAATTGTATAAAACTATAATCTGAATATTGTAATATGTATATTGTTTATTCATTTTCTAATCAATTGCATTTATGTCTTCATCTCTTATTCTTGCACTAACTATATCTTTATATCTCTTTTAGTGGACTATTTTTATTAATATTCAAATTTCTTTAGAAATATAAATACATTAGTTCACAAAAAATGATATCTGCAATCAATTTAAGATTGTAAGTTACACTGCAAATCTTATTTTCTTAATATTCTGTAGTAATACTGGTAAATTTACAAATGATCTAGGTTTTGCCTTTACTGTAGACATGTATAGGCTATGTTAAAAATTTCAAACTTAATACTGTAGGGCCTTATTGGAATACGTTTAAATACCTCAATTTACTATCAGACAAAAATATTGTCCTTAAAATTACACAACATTTTATTCGTAAAAAGTATTGTGAACTCAAGAGAATGATAAACTCTAAAGTATTGCAAATGAAACTCTTTACAAGTGCTCCGATTATTTGTTTTAAAGAATTCTTAAAGTCATAAAAGTTTGAAACTATTTATTAGATTTATATAAATTTGAAATAATAGTAGTAGTAATAATAAAATGGAAATAACTTATTTTCATTCGTTTTGTTTTACGAAAAAAGATTTTTTTGATTTTAATATTTGATATAAAATATTATTTTTACGGTTCATTGAGATTTTGAAGTTTAATGTCATCGCAAAACAATTCTACTATTTCCTCCTTTTCTTCTATAAAACTTTACAGATTTCCCAAAAAACAAAGCATTGGCTTTGATTTAAATTGAAATAATTTTCCTTTTCTTTTATAGTTTGGTTTTAATTTACTTTCAATTAATTATAAGATTATATAATTATAGTCAATAAGAATTTAGTTGAAATCATTAGTAAACACCTGAAGAGTAAAGTTACTTAAAAGTCATTATCTCTTTAATCCCTTATTCTCACGAAAATTGTGTAAAGTTTTTGAATAAATTAATCGATTCATTCAAATACTGTAATAATTTGCACATTAATTATAACGTGAAACGTGTAAAATGTAAATAAATATTTCCCCATATCTTGCATATTAATAACACTAATTCCTGAGAACCTAAACAAATAATTGCTAAAAAATAGTGTAAAACCCTATAAATATTAAAAAAATAATATAATAAATTAAAAGCTCCTTGACCACTTAATTTTACAAACCAATTATTCGATTATTGGATTTGAGTAAATATAGTCAAATGTGAAAACTTCATAGCAATGGAGATTTAGTTTGAAAACTAAATCAATAATTATGTAAAATATGTATAATTAAGTGAATATAATCTCCAGAATAGTGTAATAATAAAAGTAGTAATAAAACTATAATTGAGTTGAAATGGGGGACAAAAGTAGAAGAAGAAAAGGTCTAATCAATACATAAATCTCTCGCTTCGCGCCGTTATTAAAGCGTTTGTGTTATAGTAAACCACATGTAAAGGTAATTGTGTATTAAATGAGTGCCAAAACGAGCAAAATAAGGGTATCTCTAAAGATATCTTTAGATTTGTATAGCATTTGTATAACTAAACCAAATGAAGAATAAAATGCATATAATTTTCTATGAGAAAGAAATATATTTCACATACAGTAATAGTAAAACTAAGTCATACAAGTATATAACGCATCCACTCGTTCATATATTATTGTAATACACTTACAGATAGTGTTGTTATATACTGTATATTTGTTATGAATACACTATTGATAAAAGTTTTCCTACTTTTAAAGTCAATTCTTGTATTGTACCAAAATATATTCAACATTCAAACTACAATATAATAGTAAAGTAATTGTTAATTATTTATTATCTTAATAAGCAATTATTATGCGTCTACATATATTTTCAAGTTTTCAATCAATTAAACGAATATATTATAAGTATTTGTGACTTTAAGAAATAATTATTTTATAATCATTGCCACAAATTATGGGATGAATTGATTTGCAAGACAGAGGTTAAGATATTCATTGATAACATGAGTTCCTTGTATTAAGTCATAGAAAATAGTGTTATATGAGTGAAGGGGTATTGTTCTCACAAACAGGTGCATCACTCTATGTCTTGCCTCCAATTAATACATTCCTATCGATCATCTATTTATTCTCTACAGAATCACAACAATTATTAAATAACATACAAATAAACATATAGTTTAATATAAGAGTGTTTATGTTATTATCTCTAATAGACTTCACAGATACACGTTACAAGTCGTGACCAATGCTTTCAAAAATGAATGTTTTTAAATAGTAAATTATTATACATATGTTTTACGTAAGCACTGTATTTGATAAATATTGAACAAATCTTTTGAATCTTTCGTTTTATGATGTTTTGAAAATAACCTAAACTAGCACTCAATCAACAGTGCTTTCATCATAGGTTGTGATGGCTTTAAAAAATTATTTCACAAAATATAGTTAATAAAGTTAATTCTTTAATATTAAAATTTAGTTTGAGATTCAAATTATATTTTTAAAATTAAAACCAGTCAAACATTATGTTTAAAACAAAATATGATTTTCAATGAACTCATTATTTTTTGTTGAATAAATTTTATGATATTGTATAATAATATTTAGTCCATAATCTGATAGATGTTTTAATTGAAATGTTAATTAACCCTACATTTATGGTCAACAAAAATTAACATTTGTTTATAATTGCATTCAACATAGTATACTCTCTATGACTAAAATAATTATAATAAAAATGTAATTAATTTAAGGAAATAGTATTTCATCAGCGGTATAATGATTGCTCATTCAAATAGTATCTATATATCAATAAAACATTTTGACAATTTCTGTAGTTTATTACTAAATTTGCAGTGATATACAGTACTACCAAATATCGATACGGCTATAACAATAATGTAAGTATATGTTCAGTAGAAATGTTGGTCAAGAATTTGATGGCATATGTTATGCGATGGGACGGAGAGAGAGACGGATAACTGTGTTGTGAGGCAAACAACTCATGAATAGAGAGCACAAGTCTTTGAAAGAGAGCGGGAGAGAGGGTTCCAGTATTTCCTGTGAATATGAGTACAACAATTGAGAGGAGAGGCCAATCGCACCTGTCTGTCCTGTCTATACCATACACACTACAGTATGTCTATGTCTATGCACTACAGTATTCACCACTCACTCAC